AATATTTATTGCGCAAAGAAGCCCAATAACTTTGCGTATTAAAACGGTAACGCGGTAAGGCTTCAATCAATTAATGCAACGAGAAGGCAACAATACGAAACTAATATGAAATTACTTTGCTTTGTCTGTCTATTTGACTTGTTTTACATCACAGGTAGAAGTGATATAATGGAGCATAAAATACACCCTCATTACGAGCCTCAATGGTGCAGCACTTTACTTCATTTTATCTAGTTTCGCTTTGCTGTCTTTTGTTTTCATCGTACATCAACTCGCATCGCTGATATGAGAAACATTGATAGGAAATTAACATGCAATACAATTCTCGGAACTACAAATACATTCGTTTCTCCAAGCCATGTGCTGAATGAATGTATGAGTGCACGAATAAATGAAGTCTGTCGTTAGTATTTTCCAACTTTCCAATGACTGAGATGGATTCGATGAATGACCCTTCGTTACCGTTTCACCTCAGAATTATTCTTATTTCCACCTCTAGCTTCGAAATAAACGCAAACATTTCCGATGAGCTTTTTTTACCCAATGTGTAAGCTATCCAGTTACTGTGAATGGTTCTCCTGTGAAATTACGAATGCATTTTTAAAGAAGTTTCACATATTTGAAAATATTTCCATTTCCATTTTTTTAGTTATTAACAATTATGTTTAAAATGTAATAATTAAAAGAAATATTCTTATGCTTTTCCCGCTGAGGGTTAATCAGTACCCTCCGTTATTTACTTGGGTGGAGGAGTAGTTGCGTACTCATCATAAAAGTAATTTCAGTGTTGCATAAATCATGAGGGAAGCCTCTATCAACATGATTAATTAACACGTCCGTGTTTGACAAATCTCTTCGTAAATGTTGCTGTAACACGTTTCTAAACACTTACCAGCAAGATACGCTAAACATTTCATCAACATATTTGGTTTGTTCTACTTTCCATAGGATAAAGCCAACCTCTGTGACGATAAAATATACTTCAATGATGGTGCTTTGAAAAGTCGTGTGTTATGTCCCCACGAATATATTGGAACTTGAAACACTGCTTCAGCATTTTCCAAGCTTAGAAAACGCCTGGAAATGTTGAAAACCAATACATCAATAGTATTATACATATATAATTACTTGCAAGCTTAGTATTCTGGGTTAACCATCATCGTTTTAGTAGATAATATTAATTCTACATTGTCATCCAATAGACTTATAGTGAGCGTTTATTTGTTGTTTATTTTATTGTTCATACATTAAGTTGGAAAAACTTCATGACTAGCGGAAAAGGGAATGAATAGTGAATATTTTTATTGATACAGTATTCTGAATTTTATCTACGTTATGTCAATTTGCGTTGGCTTCTTTTCCTGCCATATGTTAGATATACGTATTTAAAAATAAGGAATGAATTAGCACATTCTCATTAATGGAACGTTTTCGAGAGACCGACCCAAGTCCTACAGAAAAAAAAACATTTAGTGACTAGTACGCACTGCGTGCATGACAAAAGCTCTCCAAACGGTATTCCACCGGTCCACGAGACAAAATTTATAGAGCACGCATTTTATAATGTGATATTGCTCTTTTAAATCACGAGATGGCGATTTTCTACGATATTCACGCTCCCTCCCCCAAGAGGCAAAATATCAAATATAGCTTGGAACTCTATGAATCAAGATTGCCTTAATAAACTGCGAGTAATGCACGCAAATAGTGAAAACATCGTTTTTGTTTCAAAGGACGCGCACGAGCCTGCAAATTAATGGGCGCGGCGAACACGTGTTCGGAAATGCAACTTGCTATTGAAAGCTAATGTGCGTCGTAAAATATTGGTGAACTTGTCACCAGTTAGAGTACATTATTGATATGCGCTGTGTATCACGCTGCGTGACAGCTTTTGGGGCTGCGGCGTAGGCCGATGCGGCGCAAGCGCCCGCTGGGAGCAGGGACGCCTGCGGTGGCGTCTGCTTACGGATGGATTTGGACCCGCCCACTCCCCCGCACTGCTCCCACACGCCGTTGCACGTTGCGCCCGCCATTGCACGCCAGCTCGCAGTCCGGCCCTCGCCGCCTCGTGCAATTGGCGGCCTTTGTATGCTCGGCTTGGACGCGTGAGCAATTATTTTGACACTCGTTTCAGCCAGATCACATTCGGGGCGTGGCCGGTAAGTAATATGTAGAAATAAGTCGCATTCGTTTCACAAACTTTAGCTAACTTGCGCTGCGTCTATGGTATTTTCTGTTATTTCCGACAACTGGAGTATGTACGCTTAAAAGTAATGTATTTATGTAGTTAGAAATCATGACAAGTGCATTTCAAACCTTCTATTTACAGAAATTCTGGGTCCACGAATTATTCTTTGACGAAGAGGGCGTGCATGATTTCACTTTGAATATCTCTATCAAAGAAATGATATTAAAAATTGCACGTGCTTTTCGACATGACTTATATTAATTCCTACAATATTGTGGAGTGCAGCAGGAAGTTAATTCTGATTAAGGTTGGTTAAGATTTGGGATGTCCTAATTTGCGCTGTTGCACTCTGTATGACTTCCCCCATATTCAGCGAAATGTAAAACATACATGCACCCCCGCTCAATAAGTTCGGAATTGATGACTAGGCGGGTGTCCATTGGCGGGTAATTCCTAGGAAAATTATCACTCACCGAATAAACTTAATCATTTTTAATTATATACTCTCGTAATGTTTCTTTCATATATTATGTATAATGCGACCTTCTTACACTACATTTTATAATTCTTCACACTTTTTAAACTTTTCGTAATAAACTACAAACTATCCACAAACTACATTCAACGAAAGCACTATTCATCCGCATATTTACTAGTCAATGGCGCAGCCATCCGTCATACGTCTACGTAATTCCTGGTTTAATAATATATTTCGTTTGCGCGCTGGTTAGTAGCCACATTTTCCAAGTGCAATTGCTTGCGCGTGTCTTTCCACGTACACAATCGTTCGGCCCTACATCCTTGGAAAGTCTGGACCTGCGGTGCGCCCGGAGCGTAACCGGCGGCGGCAGTCGCTGCCGTGAGACCAGTGTCCAGTGTCTGGTCTTCAGAGTACTTGCGGGGTCGAATTATTTCCTACGACATATTTATTCACAATATCCTAAGAAACTAAAACCCTCGTAAACACTATCGCTGATATCTAACTTACAGAACTGACACTTCCGAAGCATTCACAGCTAGCACTTGACACATCTAACTGGGAGAAGAATACATTTCTTAGAGCGCTGCTTGACTTTCTTAGAACATGCCAAAGTAATTACCCACTGGCCTGAACGAAGCTTTCCTCGTATACTGCCATCACCTTTCTCCTCTTCCCCTACTCCTTGCTGTTACCAAGTTAGAAAGCTCTATTACACAGCGCCCTATACCCCATATAGTTCTATGCTCTGTATAATCTTCAACCGATCCTCTTTGTTGTTGGTGTTGTTGTTCTAACGTTTAACATGATCTCTGTGTGGATACTGTGCTCACTTCACTGTATTCTGAGCGGTTTCTCGCTGTTTCTTACTTTTTAGACGCTTCTCTCTCATTTTCGTTTCTCATTGTGCTTGGGGGTGCCGCTCATAGATGTTGTTGAATGCATTAAAAATGCTTCTTTCTCCATTGCCTTTATGCACACTGGCTCATCGTATAATATAACTTTACATTTATTTTATTTAACGTCAAAAAACAGTTAAAACTATATTTGACGTAATATGGGAGAGAAGTGCAATCTGTGGACATTTTCTTGAGTTCTGGAATCCCCACCCGATCTCTTATATTAAGTTGAATTATGAATACCGGTAGGAACGAACGTGATTTACAACAATAATTAAGAACATATTCCCTCACGTGAAATAAAAACTATTCACAAAGGCAAATGAATTAAATATTTTCAAAATTGTTTCTTATCGTACCATATGTGAAGAAATAGTATTTCTGCTCCGAAAGCATGGAGAACACTACTCATTGCTTTCTTATTCCCAGGCTGTTTTCACCGTTATTGTCACTCTAAGTACTAGATTTAGTATTTCTGCAGGTAGGTGTATACAACCTGGTGGCAGAGCACTACAATTGACATATTACAGTTAAGAATATTGATACAATGTAATTTTAAAACATTTTGAGAAAATAATAGTTATAATAATAATAATAATTATAATAATAATAATAATAATATGATAACAATAAAGACAAAAATAACAATAACAGCATTAACTCTACATTTTATGACTCTCCTGCACAGATATTTTAACAAATAAATACATTTCTTAAATACACGGCAATTCACTTCACTTCACTACTCTTGCACTGCACTTCCCTTCCTACTGCACTACACTCTCAACACGTCACGACACTCCAATTCAACTACTACTTTAAATATAATTATATATTTAATAAAGCAATGCATTTAATAATTATTATCACAATACTAATAATAAAAATGCCAACTACTTACTTAATAATTTATTTAACTTCCAAAAACAATTAAAAACTTGCGATACTTACAGCTTTATTTCCTGTTCCATTCCACATCCTGTTCACTTCCCATCCTGAGTACGCGTGTGTCCGCCTTCGTTCCCGTTGTGGCTCTGACCGCCCGCTCTTCCCTTCCCAGCGCGCCGGCCGCCCGCCCGACGTGGGCTGCCGCTGCGTTTGAGTGAGCTGTTTGCCGCGGTTGCTCAGCGCGGCGTCGGTCGCAGCGCACTTGCGATTTCATTTTTGCGAGTGCCGCCCGCGCGCGGTAGAAAACGGAAGCAAGCGGGAAGAGAAAAATAATACAAACGCTATTAAATTCGCTTTCGGTCCTCCGGCGGCCGGTGTCCGGACGGGCTGTAAATTGAAACCGCGTGGTTTACACGGCGTCACCTACGTTACTTGTCTACCAAATTCCACTTAGAATTGCGTTGCGCGGAAGAATATTTTTCGCGTCTCCGAACGCTCCTTGCGGGCTAATGCCGTTCCGTAATTGAGAGTTGCTCTTTTGTTGCAGAGCTCCAGTCCCAGCGAGCGGTGCGCGCCTCCTCCGCAGCTGTTCCAGGTGAGTGCATTATCGCGATTACTTTCGGGCCGCACACAATGCCTGCTGCGTGCAGGGCGCTGTGTGCCCCCGCGGACGACACGTTGCTGTGGTGTGGTGTTTTGTTTTGTTTTGTTTTGTTTTGTTTTTTGCGACGAGTGAGAAAAGTGGGCAAGAAGTAGTTTAAACGTCCAAAAAGCGGATATTAGTTTTAAACATATTGGGGTTCTTCGAAAAAGAAAGTGCAGCTTGAGTTAAATTATTATTCCGAAGTACTTGTCTGGCGTTTTAATATTTTAATTTGGCATTTGATATTTTAATTTGAATAACTGTAATTGATTTAGAAATGACTGTGCCTTAGAAAGAAAAATTAAATTTTGCAAAAGAGATTCAGCGATCTTCAAATCTGATAGTCGCAGACTGCCTATCCGCTTATAGCTATTCATAGTGGAGGAAAAGCTAATGAACATTATAATTAAATTATTACAGTTATTAAAGAATTACTTACAGTGTGAGAGACACATGTTTATCATAGTCATGAATATTATAACATTTAATGAATATCTCCACCTTGGTAATATCCAGAAAGTTTCTGGAATGGTTATCAAATTTTCTCACACCAAATAATGCATAATTTAACTCATCAACTCGTATTCACTATGAATTATTGTAATATGAATAATATTATTGACATTACAACTTGAGCAATGTATGTTTCGGTTAATAATGTGTTGTGAGTGAAAACTATGCCGCGATTTATTCGTAAAAGAACTATTATTTAGACAGGTATTCAGTTATTTCCAAATAATTTAATAATTTCCAAGAGTTTTAACGTTGAAATTATATTGCACAGAGTCGTTATACCTATAATTTGTAGATAGTGATTGGACGTGAACATGTATGAAAAGAATATATGTAGAATTTACTACTAATAATAATGTATTGAATATCGTTCTGATTATTATATTCGGTATTATGTTTACTGTTTCCATGAATCGTTTACTGACAATTGTTTGTGCTTTGAACATTTTTAGTGTTCGCGAGGTTCGACGTTCTTTTTAGAAAGATAAATTCAGCGGTTGACGTTCGTACATTAACTATTTTCCAAAGTATTTGCTAAAATTCGTCGTCTTTTCGAAACTTTCCACTAGTCGCGCCATACCACACATGAGGAAAGCTCGATACCTGACGAGAGCTGTTGGAGGGGCGTTCGTGGAGCGAAAGAAGTGAGTACGCCCGCGCGGGGTGCCCGACGCCAGCCTAGTTCGCCGGCTCGCTTTCGAGGGCCCCCGGTGGCATCCTGCCCGCGCGGCGAACTGGGGCTGCCGCGCATTCGATCCACACGCGGCAGGGGCAGCGCGCACCGCTGGCGACCCGCGCGCCGCGGCCTTTCCAATTCGTCTTGCAATCGCCCGCCCCCGCTCCCGACCCCCTCCCCACGCCCGTGCGCGTGTCCGTGTCCGGCGCCCGTGCTCGCGCGCGCGCGGCGCGGCGCGGCCGGCCGGCGGCGCGGAAGCGTCCGTTGTGAGTTAACGCTTCCGAATAATTACTCATCAAATGCGTGTTTGTCGAATTAACTTGTATAGGCGGTCGATTAGAAACAGCTGTTGCGATATCTGGCCGCTAATTACTCGAGCGCGAGGGGTGCGCAGTGGACCGCAGCGCGGCCGGCGGCCGCCGCCGCCGCCCGTGTTGCTCAGTTTCGTCGCGTCGTCCTCTCGCCATGGTTACCGCCTCTCCTCCCGCTTCCACTCTCATTACCATCGTCGCCGCTGCTGGCTAGCTTCCCCCTCCCGGGCGACCCACAAAGGCTCCGATCTGTTACCTATACCGTCGTAAATGTTTTCCGCGTTATTGCTTTAGATAGCCCCGGCCTGGGTTTCCCGCATTGACTGAGCATTGTTCTCGCGTCGTACATAGAGCCTCATCACCTCGTTTTCCAATCTCATCTTGACTCGTCGATGTGACCCTTGTCGCATTGTGTCTGTTCTCCAGTGCAGAAATGAAATTACGTATTGTTAGTCATTAGCATTAAAAAGTAAGCGCACCATTGAATCATTTACCAATGCGTAATTTCATAGAAATAATCTAAATTGTCAATAAAGCCTTTAGAATCTACATCAACGTTTTACTGCACATTGTTTGACGTGATATGTAACCTTTTACGACTATGAAATAGTTTTTAGCATAGAAGAAATTTAGTTTTATTTTACAATTAAAATGTACAATTGTCGGAAATGTGCTGATCTTGGTCAGATTAACTATTCACATTCAAAATCAATTATTGTCACAATTTCTTAGGTATTCATATAATTAGAATAAATGTTGAAAAACATGCAGGTGTTTAGTAGTACAATTTTGAAAGAATGATTAATTAATGTTTATTATTTTAAAAATATAGTTATATCCGAATAAAGTTTTAAAATTATGCTAAATATTTAAAGGTCTTTGAACATTTTAAAATTGGTATAAAATACAAAATATCAAATATATGACACCTTACGATGCAGAAGCGCTATAATGTGTAATAATTGCTGCTTTAAAATCCGAAAAATATGACTTAAAAATTTTTTCATTGCTGAATCATTAATGCAAGCTAACCATTTAAATGCGTTATAATACGAAGAAAATATATTTTCTATTTCAACTGTTGCGAAGCTTAATATAATGCTTGATTTATTAGATCAAATAGCTATCTACATATCTCACACTACCGGAAGCAGTTCCATTTTACTTCAAAGGAGAGATTTGTTATCTTCATCTTCATAAACTTTGAAGTCACGATAACCATATCATAGACTACCGTTTTAACCGTTTATTGTTTGTTTCGAAGCCCTTATCTCTTGAAGTGATGACGTGTGAATATCAAAGTATGTAAATATCTAATTAATATTACCAGAAACAGTGATATGGTTTTCTCGGTTTTCAAACACACAAAATCATTGATTTATCCAGTGATCAATGAATCAGTTGTGTACTAAACAATGGAATGTTTGCGATTCTAACAAAAGCGAATTCCAATAATTGCACATGTGAGTTCGAAATAATTATAAAATTGATATGTTTTTATAAAAACTGCGTGTTTTCTGTATTTATTGCTTGTAGCTCTCACCAAACTTGCAATATAGGATATTGTTGATCAAATATTTTATCACATCTGTTTTATGAACGTATTGCAGTACTTTGTGAACTGCTAGATTGTGTTTGCTGTCATGTACTGTTGAGTGACTGCAAAACGTTTACTTTTCGTGCTTGGGCGCCCACACATTTTATGTGTGACTTAATACTGGGAAAAAAGTCTTTGTTTTAATACTTCTGCGGCAGGTCAATTAACATGAATCGAAATACTATTAGAAAGATTTAAAACTTGCAAGGTATTACCATGGACGTCGCTGGAAACCCCGAGGAAGCTTGCATTGCGCTGCTTTGCCCAGCACTGATTTCTTTTGCATCGGGCGAGATTCGAACCCTAGGCCCGCCAGAAGCATGCGAACAATCTCACCGTTACCCACGTTGGTGCAGGTAGTACAACCTTCTAACCTGTAGCCTTATCATCTGACAATAAGTTATGATTGCTTCGAATGGCGAATTCAAATTCTGAGTTGACCTAGTCACTGTAAATGTGGTCCCTCATCAGTGAAATTCTCCTTCGCATTCTAAACAACTTGCACTTGAGTTTTTGTCACTTTCGTCGCCAGCCACCGTTGTCGATTTTTGTGTTATTGACGGCACGTAAAAGGAAAACACGCAATCTCCAGAGCGCTACATCAAAGACGATTGGATGGAGCTTTTACAGTTAGATTTATCGATAAGTAGCATCGCTACGATTACACAATTTTTAACAGCTTCTCGAAAGTCGTAACATACGTTGGAACAGGTACAATGAGGGAATGGAAGAAATATCGTAACGGTTGGATTACAATCGTCTTTGTGCTCTTTTGTGAGCTTTTACAGTACATAAACGTATTTCTGGTCGTTCAAATGCTTATTCATTTACATAAACGATCTGAAAGTCTAGCATCATACATTCGTAAAAAGATATGAAGTGTCTTGGTTATTATTTATGAAGCAACCATTTGCATCAACAAATACCAAGCTCCCATCGAGCTCCGCTCCTTCCCGGTGGGCATTCGACAGCTGTACAGAGATATTCTGTGGAATTGCCTGAGCGGACGCGGTCCGAGGCGCTGCGGAAACGACCGATCTTGTCGAGAACTCCGCCTGACGTCCGCCATCTCTCTATCAGCAAGTTGGCGCAGTTGGGCGGCGCGCCTCGCCGTGCAGTGAAGCGGAGACTGTTAACTCCCTCCCTCCGCATTCCTTCGCGAACCGCTTCAGCCGCGCCGCGGCGAGCCCTCCACGGCTCCTCT